GTCTAGAATCTGGACAAAAGGTCAACTTGAGTAAATCCTCTGTCTATTTTTCCAAAAATTCCCAAGCCCCTCTAAAAGCTGAAATCTGCTCTATTTTGCAAGGTATCTCTGATGTCCAGTCTTCTTCTTATCTAGGATTGCCTCTGGGGCTTGGTAGATCCAAAAAGCAAACCTTCAGTTTTGTTGTAAATAGAGTTTCTAGTAGAATAAATTCATGGAATAATATTTTTCTTAGTGAAGCTGGTAAGGTGATCTTGTTAAAATCTGTTATAGGGGCTCTCCCCACTTTTGTTATGTCTTGTTTTAAATTACCAGTGGCTTCATGTGAAGAAATAAGCAGACTTTCTGCTTCCTTTTGGTGGGGGTAATAAACAAGATGGTGGCAGAAGAATTCACTGGACTTCATGGAATAATCTTACACTGCCAAAGGAAGATGGAGGCTTGGGATTCAAATGTCTTGCAGCCTTCAATGATGCCCTTATCATGAAGCAGCTATGGAGAATTATCCAGCATCCTCAGCTATTGATGAGAAAAATTATCAAAGGGAAGTATTTTCATAACTCATCCTTGTGGAAGGTAAAGCATAAATGCTCTGATTCATGGCTATGGAGTACTTGGTTGAAAGCAATCCCTCATCTCAGGAAAAAAGTCATCATGTCTATTGGAGATGGCAGCAACACAGACATCTGGACAGATCCATGGGTTGTAGGGATTCCAAATCTCTCCCCCACCATGGCGTTTTCTTCTGATGGCTTGAGACTGAAAAAAGTAAGGGAGCTTATGAATTCAGATGCCACTGCTTGGGATAATGAGCTTGTAGAGCAAACTTTCAGGCCTGAAGAAGCTCAAAAAATTCTGAATATCCCCCTCAAGGAAGGCCAACAAGGTGCTATGATCTGGACTCCTCATAAGCAAGGTAAATTCTCTGTTAAATCTGCTTATTTGTCCATTCTATCTGAAAGGAAAATGCTCTTCAAACCCCCTGAATCCAGCAAACAAAGCCGAAGACTTTCTAAGACCTGGAAGACCACATGGGCTCTGAAAATTAAAAACAAAATTAAGGTCTTTCTCTGGCGTTGCTGGTACAAATATTTAGGCACCAATGACCAGCTCATCAAGAGAGGTATTCTTGTGGACCCCATTTGCAGTGTTTGTGGGTCTGCTGAGGAACCTCTCGACCACATTCTATTCTTTTTCCCCCGTGCTGTAAAAGTTTGGAAGCATGCCGGCTTACATTGGGAAGGTATGCACCTCTCAAACTTCACTTTCCAAACTTGGTGGCAAGACAGAATCAGAGAAGAGACAGAAGAGAAAGGGGCCTGCGGCGAGCAATGACACGAAATGCACGCCGTGGTGAGAAGCAGACAAGCATAAAGAAATTGTTCACTTTTAGCTTCAACCAGCTTCCCTTACTAGACGAAATTCCTGCTGAGTTTGCCAAACGCTTTCGGTTGAAAGGATTGACAGTTGATGTCTCTCCAGTTTCAATCTGTTCTATGAAGAGAATTAGAAGCTTTCACGACCGTATACACTTTTCTTCTTATATACTCTGGTGGTTGTGGAAGTCCCGAAATACTTGGATCTTTAATAAGATCTGGAAATCCGAAGTTGATATTGCTCGAGGAGCTTGGGCAGAATGGGTGGAATTCGAGGAAGTTTCAAATGTTGGTTCATAGCACTTTGCTCTGGTTTTCTGCATCTTGTTCTTCTATTTTTTGGCGTTGGTCATTTTTGGGGGAAAGCTTATTTTTTGTGGAAGTTGGGCTAGAAACGGATGTGTTCAGTGGCAAGCTTCTACAGGATCTCCAAGTTGCAATGGCTACCCGATGTCTTTTTTGGTGCTAGCTTTATTTTGTTTGTTCTCCATTGCTTTCTAGCACTGTAATTTTTAGTCTTTCATTTGTTTAGCCTGTCAGGTTGTACTTATTTTTATGTTTTTGTTTGCTTTATAAGGGTTGCATCCCTTTATCACTTAGCCTCAGTCTATGGCTAAGGTTTATGTCCTCGGACAGTCGGACATGCCCTCTGTATCTGAACTTTGCTGAGTTTGGTTTAATATTATTTTCGTTTCGAGAAAAAAAAAAAAAGAAAGGCATAGGAGATCAAACCGCTGACTTACAAACTCTGTATCCAACATCAAAGCACAATGAACAAGCAATATTGTCCTCAACTCACAGCCCTCATCTTCTGTACCATCCTTCTCTCACTACATCCCTCACAAGCGCGCGCGCACAGTGTATGCATAATCGGCAGCGGAATCGGCGGCGCCTCCGTCGCCCACTTCCTCCGCCGCTACTCCGACCCACAGACGATCGGCCCCATCACCATCTTCGAGCGGAACGGCGTCGTCGGAGGCCGCATGGCCACCGTAACCATCTCCGGCGAGACCTTCGAGGCCGGCGGCTCCATTCTCCACCCAAAGAACTACCATGTCTCGAATTACACCAAGTATCTCAACCTCAAGGTCAAAGCCCCAAAGCACGCCGATGATTCTCTCTCTTTGGGGATTTGGGACGGTCATAAATTTGTCTACAAGACGCTGAGCTCCAACTCCAAGCTGCCTATTGTTCAGCGCCTAGTGTCGATCGCTAATTCCATTGTGATGTTGTTGAGATACGGGGCCTTTTCTCTGTATAGAATGAGTAGCTTTGTTGAGGTACTTTAGCCCCAGTTTCCTGGGTTCCTTACTCCTCAAATTTGTTTATGCATTTACGATTGCGATCCTCGAAGTATTACAGCAAACATTCTGATAGGGTATTGTGTGGTCTCATTGCATTTTCTATTTGGAGTTTTTGGATATGCATTTTGCAATTCTTAGCTCTTGAAAACAGAACAACAGTTTATGTTCCTTCAGAGAAAGTTTAATTGGAATAATGTGCCAAGAGCTCAATCTTACTTTTGTCACTTGCTCTCTGATTTGAGATTATAATTCATGTTTATGTATGGTTTATGTATTCATGTAAATAAATGTGTAAAGTATATGTGAACTGTATGATGTGTGTGGAAACTCTTAACAGCACTTTTTACTAGCAAGTTGTTTTATCTTCACTATATCATATATGCTAGGTTTATACTATCTTTTCACAGTTTGACATCACTTTGTCTGTTGTGTTAATTTTCAATTTTTGAACTTTTGTAGGCGATGCTCAATCATTTTCTGAGGTATTATGAAGATTTTGAAGCCCGGCCAGTGTTTGATACGGTGGAGGGAATGCTCAGATGGGCTGGACTGTATAACCTGCCAACAAGAACATTAGGGGAGGAACTGGTGGAAGTTGGATTGTCTTCTATACTTATTGAAGAGCTTGTAACTGTAAGATATTCATTTTTTCTTGTTTTACTTTTGCTTATGCACCACTTTTGTTTAATTTTTCTGTAGTAATGTTTTCCTTGTGAGCAACTAATAACCCCAATCTGTATTGCTCTTGATTTGCTTCTAATTTTTTAGGTATTCCTTTATGTCTGTACAAAGATACCTTTTGCATATGCGTATTATTTTTTTGCAGCTTTCACAGTTCACATTCTAGTTTACCGCTTTCTTACCACTAAAGTAAAAGCTTTTCTTCTGTTTTGTTTCTTTCAATAGTGAATCTCTTGCTTACTGCACACTCGATAGTCATTGCAAGCTAACCTAATGTATTAATTGTACATGATCGCAACCCATAGTACGACACATATTTGCTGACCAATTTATTGCTACTAAAGGATGTTGGCTTAACAGTTTGGTTAGGAATCATTCATGTCACTTGCCGTGAAGAGATTCTTTGAGTAGTTCTTTTGGATCTACTTATGATACGTTGTTTAGCAGCCATTTGTCATATTTACATGTTTAAGTCGACCTGTAGGAATCACCATGTTCTTATTTCTTGATTAATAACATGTAGAAGATGCACAAACATTTTTGTCTTTGATGCAAGTCCATTGCTGGCAGTTTTGGGATCTATGAGAACACAGGACATTGAAATAAACTTGAGAACATACATAGAACTTGGGTGTTTTGGAAGATAATTGTTTTTTGTTTTGTTTTTTTTTTTTTTT